TAACTCGGGGACTATGTGTTGCCTCTTACATATATCTCACAGTGATTCACAGAAGGGCCCAGATGTGGTCTGCAGTTCCTGCAGCCAAGGAGGGAGGTTGTGCTTCAGAGACTCAAGATTAATTAGGTCATTGCCATTTCCGTGCACGAGGCTACTGGCAATTGCTAAGAGCTCAGCTACGAGATAATGGGGCAGGCTCAGAAGAGAGGACTTGACCTCCCATGGCCCCCAGACATGCTGAGTGAAATTAAGAAAACGAAGGCTTACAAAGTCTCAAGGAAAAATGCACACCTAACCCTTACATTTTTGCTCACAGTCTTTTAACTCTCTCATCCTCAAAGTTTTTCTCCAAAGTGTCATCATTTTCTCAAAAGGGTATGTGCTGAAAGGCTCTATTTTAACACAAAATTCATTCAGGAGCCAAATAAAGCTTGTAAATATTGCATATGTAATGATTGATAATTAGCAGTGGGCTCTGGTGGCCTAGTGGCAAGAAGCTGCACTGCAGTCCTGCAGACACGCCTTTCGAGGCCACCACCTGCTCCTTGGGAGAAGAATGGGCAATCTCCTCCCTTGGGATTAACTGTGTCTAAAACCAGCTGGAGAGTCAGCTATGGATTGGTTCCAATTTAATGGTACACAACAACAATAGCAGACTACAGGATCCCAATTAGTCTTGCAATTTAAAAACAAAACAAAATTTCCCTTTGTTGAAGCTGTTATGTGCTGTTGAGTTCATTCTGACTCAGATCAACCCTGAAGGACAGAGAATAACTGCTCTCCAGGGTTTTCTAGGCTGGACTTCTTAAGGGACTGGGTCATTACCAGATTTAACTTAGTATGGCTTATTATTACTCTGAGGAACAAGTCTTCCATGGAACACTCTGAACACTCACTTTCTTACAGCTTTCTAAGTGAGAGAAAGAGGTCAACAGGAACTCAGGGCGTCAAAAGAGGGGTGTTGTTTTGCATTTAGAGAAAGTCTCAGGTGGAGTAGGTGGTTCGTGAAGCATTTCATTCCAGTTCTAAGGAGCAAGACTCAAGTGTGCAGGCGCTCTTTTGATTTCTTCTCGATAATAGAAAACCAGCTCAATCAATCAATCTAGGCTTATTAACTGTCAACTGAACTTACAACTTTTCCAGGAACACAATTATGTTACAATAAATGAAAACCACCAGGTTGAGGAATATTTCTTTCATTGCTTTTGATTTCTTATGAGTCTGACCTATTCTTTACATTATTTCCACAAAGTAGCTGAAAATTTGGCTCACTGGGGGACCTTAAACAGCATGACAGGGATTATTCAATAAGCCAATGAGACACTACTTAATAACCTGGGGACTGTGTGGTATTTTCGTTTCATCGCCTGATTTTATGACTTCTGTGAACCAAAATTAAAATTCCCAAACCCTTTATCACTATAAAAAGGAATTCAAGGTTGTAGCTCATAAGCAAAACAGCTCTTTTATTCTCCCAAATTTCCCCATCCTTAGGGCTGTTTTTTGCATCAGCAGCAAAGTAGGGGGCCCAGCTAAACATGAAAGAGCTTCATTAATTTCAAATATCAAATGACTGGGTGACTTGGGCATTCCATGGCTTACCCCTGCTTTTAATTATTATTCATAACACCAAGCACAATTTATAATTGCCTTTATTCCCCAGTTTGAGAAAAGACTAAAGATGGAGGGAGGGGATACCCATTACTGCACCCTCTGTTCTGCAGTTCTCCAAGGGGAACTCACTGTAGGGAGAGATTGGGCTGAGGTCGCCACCTAGTGACTGCTATTCAGAAAAGGTTGCAAATAACATCACCTTTGGGGTTTGGGACCAAGTTCAGAGTAGACTGAATCCTCACACCTGTTTCTGAAGCATTTCACTTGCTTTCCGACTTTCACTTCATATATCTAAGTTTCTCTTCAAACATACAGCGAGGAACCATGGCCTGGAACCACTGAGCTTTGTCTACACAGATTGTGCTCGGCTTATTCGGTTGCTCTGCTTCTGCGTCTTTGTGCGTGTGTTTTATAGAAGAGGCGGGTAATGGAGTCTGCACATTGAAAGGTGTTGCCCATTTGCCTCCAAAACCTTTCTGATTTTTTCTTATAAATCATTTTATGTTGTTGTTGTTGTTGTGTGTCCTCGAAGCAGAACCGACCCATAGCTGACCCTCCAGCAGGTTTCAAAGGCAGTTAATCACGCGGGAGGGTGCCCATCCTTCCACTGAGCTTCTGGTGGCCTCGATCCGACTGCCTTGGGGATAGCAGCGCAGCTTCTTGCCTTCAGCCTACCAGATCTCCCCAACCATCTTATACTGGATTGTAAAATCTATACAACAACTGGATAAAGTGGAATAATATGGACCTTTAGAGTCACACAAACATAACGCCTTCAAATTTCATCTCTCCTTTCATTAAAATGGTCATAATAATGCTGATCTTGAAAGGCTACTGTATGAAAAGACATGACACCATAGGGCAGGTGACTCTCTGTAGTGTAGCGTTTATTGAGGAGTGGATCTGCACATGAGCCTTTATACTCTTAGGCCATCATACTAAACACACACACACACACACACACACACACACACACACTTCACTGTAATTAAGACTACTTCAATAGTCTAGGGCTCAGTCTTAGTGTTACAAAGCTAAAATAAAGGGACTGAAAAAATTTCACCTTTGTGTCAAAAAGGACCTGAGAAATAATAGAATTTCCTGTCTAAAAATGAAGATAAAAGAAACAAAAAGAGAGGGTCTACCTATCCCAAAGGTATAAAATATTTAAGTGGTCAAGGTTATACTAAGCCCAAGGGCTCTAGGCTTTAACTCGAAGGTCACCTTCATGACCGACACTGTTGAAACTGCCTTCATTTCATTTCATCTGACAAGATTTAGAGATGTTTTTAAGGGACCTGACGCTACAGAGGGGTATGTGTTCGCTTCTATTAAAGGTCAGCAACTGAAACCAAAAATAGTCCCACAGGAGAAAAAAAAAATGAAACCGTCTTCTCCCAATAAGATTTGCAACCCTGAAACTCCCTATGGGGCAGTTCGGCCTCATCCTGCAAGGTCCCTAAGATTTGGAATCAACCCCATGAGAGTGAGTGGCGGTGGAGATGCTAAATGACTTTCCCAGCAAAACTTAGAAGCGAACATCAACTTTAAACCTCTTCATGTGTCGAGCGTTCTGTCTAATATTCTGTGCTGCCACCTCCCAGGAACAGTTTTCCTTTTCATTATGGGCAATGTGTACTGTTCTGAAATATTATAGTGTGTACACATGTACAGGATGCAAGATGGCACTTAAGCAAGCCTTCCTTTCCTGTCATAACCCATTGACATGCAATTGATTCAAGTTTACAGGAATCCTGTAGGGTAGAAGGAACTTTCCCATGGGATTTACAAGGTTGTAATTGTTAAGCAAACTATCACAGGGAGTAGCTGATTGGTTCTAACTACCAACATTTAGTGAGAAGCCAAGTGCTTATTCAAGCTGTGCCATTAAGGCCCCTTTCTACAATACTACTCACACTCCCATGGAATCAGAACTCACTTGTCACTGACCCTCCACTGGGTTTCCAAGATGACAACTCACAAGGGAGTGATTGTTCACATTTCTACCAGGGAGCCACTGTTACACCTCACTGATTACACCCACCCACATTTTAGCTGAAGATCAAAAGTACTTCTTCATAAACTACTTCTGATTTCACCAGCCCAAATGGATTCTTTTTTCTCTTCTGATTGACAAGTATCATTTTACCCACCCAAGTTGAAATCCCATTATATATTCTTGTCTTATTTTCCAATACCAGAAACCTATCAAATCAACTAGAATAGTTCACTAATTAGAGAAACAAGCACTCCCTAGCGTTTCATTTTTGTCTTCTATGATCGCTAGCACACGGCTGGCATATGAGAGGCTCTCCGGAAATACTTATTGATTGCGTGGAAATGTAGATGTTCCTTTACACATGCATAAATCCATTCATTTACACATCCTGCCCTACAATATGAATTCATCAGTCCAGGAACTTGTCTGTTTGCTCAAAGCATATGTCTAAGGTCTTTCAAAACAGTACTCAATACATAGTAGGAACTGAATGATTTTTAAATAAATGAATAATTAATTAAACCAAACTTTATGATGAACTTTTCAAGTACCAGTCACTGTTCTAACTATTTACTTTTACCTGTGCTGTTGCTAGAAGCTATCAAGTCATTTTTTTCTTCCAAAAGACCCATGTGACAGGGTAAAACTTCCTTATTGAATTTTGAACTACTTCTTTATGGAAGCAGGTCATCATTTCCCACAGAGTCTTTAAATGGATATGAACCATCACCTTTTGTATTAGCAGTCAAGTGCTTAACTGTTTGCATCACAAGGACTCCCAATTTTTACTGTTGTTGTTATTGTTGTTGTTGTTGTTGTGTGACATCAAGTTGGAGCCAACTCATAGCTGACCACCCAACAGGTTTTCAGATGCAGTAAATCACACTGGAGGAGACTGGCCATCCTTCCCCTGAGGAGCAGCTGGTGGATTCAAACTCTGTGCCTTCGGGATTGCAGTAGAGATTGTTACCAATGGGCCACCAGACCTCCCTACCTTTGACTGTCATGCTCTTCATTTCTGCTTTCTCCGTCCCCCTCTACAAAGAAATGAAAGAACTAGAACTTGGGAGGATGATTGATTGACTGTTGAGTGATTGAAAAGAACGATGAGCAAGTCTCTACCTCTGTTCTCCAGTCACAGATCCTGTCCCTGAGGAGAGAGAGAAGGACCAGTAGGACAGTGGGGGGTAAATTCTATGATACAACTCTGTGAAAGTAGATGGGAAGACCCTTCTCGGTCTTGCTCGACCCGGTCAAGAGAGAGTTTGATCAGTGAAGCAAAAGAGACAGATAATGGGGGGAAACACAAAAAACTATCATTCCTCATTGAAATACCAAGAAAACGATGAAAATAAAAAGTGAACAACATCACCATAGTTTTACTCACCTTCAGCTACATCGTCATCCACTGTCAACTTAAGGCTTTTCCCTCTCCGCACCACCCGAACGGTGTGCCATTCGTTGTCGTTGAGTTTTTGCCCTGCATACAGAGTCTCTGGTCCTTTGCCTAAAGATGGTGGTAAATGCCAAAGTTAGTGTCAATTCTAGAAGCCCTGCTCATGACATCAGGGTTCTGAAAGCCACACTGGTGCACATGACGCAGTAAAACCCAAAGAGCCATACCTTCCCCCAAGGTTATCCTGGTTTCACTAATATACCTGTATCCACTACAAGCATTCCCGAAAATTATTAATGGCAGCATTACAGATAAAGACCAAAGAGCTAAGGAAATAAATACCCTCTTATCCATTGACAGAAGATTTTAACATTCCAAGGGCAACAAGTGGACATAGAAATCTAACAGGAGTCAGTTTCCATTGTTTTCCAAAGTATTTAACATTTGGATGAATTTCATGGAGAATGTGGGACATGAATGTTAAATGTCTGAGAATCACTTGGTCATTTCAGCATGATACACCAGTCTGGCTTTTTTAGACAGTGCCACTAATCGAATGAGAAAAGAAGGTTGCAACATTCGCTTTCTTAACCTGACATTTCCATTAACCCCTGGTCCTAATGACCAAAGAAATCACGGCAGTCATTATCACAATACTAGCAACAGAAAAGTCTAAACTCCAGTGTAAATAATGCTCCAGAGGGGAATAGCCTGGGCCTTAGAATTATCTTATTGAGACCTGAAAAACAAAGTAATAATAATAATATAAAATTCCAAATTTAAACTCTTTAGATTCAAAGAATCTACCATTGAAATGAGATACTGAATGAAGGAATGCAATTATCCCAACATACCCAGGCTCAAGAGGGTGAAGATAATTATTGAAACATTGGGGATGGAAAAAGGAATGATTTCATTTAAAAGAAAACAAAAATGCAGAGCAGGATCGAAACAACCTAGCTGGAAGGTGCATTTGAGCGCGTGTCATCACCACATTGATTTGTAGCATGAAAAGACGGAGAACAGAAGATCTAGACCACATGTGTTCACTATCTGGACAGCGAAAGCCTCTGCTAGAAGTTGTGGGCTCAGTCAGCAAGTGGAAAGCACTGCGTCTAAAAAAGGACTTCAAATAATCACAGCCTGTGCAGCTGCATAATCCATCCCTGTGGATAGTATACATTTGAAACATGACAAACAGGCCACATATCGACATCTATCAAGGGTCTGGTAAACAGTAAGGGATTGATAATTGCTTGTTGACTGCGTGATGTTTACTGCAACAATGAGCAGAAGCACAGTGGAGACTGTAGGGTGATGCAGGGCTTTGATCTGTTGTACACAGGACCATTATGAGTCAGGCTGACAACATGAAACCCAACACCAACATAGAGGTTTGCATTTCTTTCAAAGCTATCAACTAAGCACTATATATATATATTTTAATTTAAGTCATTTTGAATGCTTTGTTACATGTGTGTGTATGTGCATTGAGCAGTTAAAATTTAATTTCAACTTCTCTTGACTGTAGCAGTGTGCCTGTCTCTTATAATAACAATATATAGATTATATAAAGATTCCTTCTCCACATTTGATCAGAGGTTGTGGCATGAGAGACATTAGCACCAATGTCAGATGGATCTTAGCTGAAAGCAATGAGTACCAGAAGAATGTCTACCTGTGTTTCATTGACTGTGCAAAGGGATTTGATAGTGTGGATCACAAAAAACTGTGGCTGGCCTTGAGGAGAATGGGAATCCCAGGACACTTGATTGTGCTTCTGTGAAACTCAGAACAGAGCAAGGAAACACTGCATGGTTCAAAATCAGGAAAGGAGTGCATCAGGGATGTGTCTTGCCTCCATAACTCTTCAATCCATGTAGAACAGATAGTTTGGAGGCTGGGCTTTATGAGAAGGAATGCGACATCAGGATTGGAAGAAGACTTATCAACAATCTACATAATGCAGATGACACAATCTTGCTTGTTTAAACTGAGAAGGACCTGAAGTGCTTGCTGCTGAAGGTTGAAGATGATAGTCTTCAATAAGGATTGAAATTCAACATCAAGAAGACAAAGATTCTCACCACTGGACCAAATGGCAGCACAATGATAGACAGAGAAGAGATTGAGGTTGTAAACAATTATAGCTTGCTTGGCTCCACAATCAACACTCTTGGCACCAACAGTCAGGAAATCAAAAGACAAATTGTAGAGTACTTAGAAGCAATTACGTCAGTCTGGAGACTAAGGTGTGCCTCTCATCCAGACCATGGTCTTCCCAATTACTTGCTATGTATCAGAGACCTGGACGATGACCAAAGATGGCAGGAGAAGATTTGATGCCTTAGAGTCCTGGTGCTGGAGAAGAGTCCTGAACACACCATGGACCATCAAGAAATCAAATATGGTATGTCTTGGAGAGGGTGAAACCAAGTTTCTCTTTGGAGGCTAGGATTTTAAAGCTCTGTAGCACATACTTTGGACATGTGGCCATGAGGGACGGGTCCTTGGAGAAGAATATCATGCTCGGAATGGTGGAGGGATAGTGCAAGAGAGGAAGATCCTGGATGAGATGGATTGATACAGTAACCAGGGTAATGCGGGTAGTTGTGTCAGCGTCAGTGAGATTGGCACAGGGCAGGAAAGGCTTCAGAGCTGTTGTACATAGGGTAGCTAAGAATCACAGGTAACTCAACAACACTTAACAACAACAACTACATTATCTTATAGTTTGCCCTGAGACTCATTTAACAGTTGCTCTTACAACAACAAACTGTGAAAGCGCTGAAAGAAAAAAATGGACCACATTTTGTGAGTACTTTGTAGTGAAAGCAGATGTTCTAGAAGAAACATATTTGCCTTTGGGGTGTGTGTGTGTGTATGTGTGCGTGTGTTTTATGTTTTTATCTCCTTTGTTCTAAATTTAAACATTTCAATTAGAACAAAAGAAGTAGGAAAAAAGGGAATACTGTCTATGGAGGCAGAACTTCTACAAAGACTGGCTATTTAAAACAGCTCCTACAAGGAAGCATCTGCTCTTTAGACAATTTTTGCACATTATATACTTTTTTAAGGATTAGAAACAAGATAAGAAGAGAAGTGGCGAACACAAACACAGTTAGCTTTAGAGAATTACTACATCAATGCCACATTAGCCACAGATATGGAAAACAAGCTATACCTCAGTCCAATTTATTTCAAACCGTCCTAATACTTTGCAATTCAGCTGTGTATTTCAGCTCCGAGGATGTCCTTGAAATGTCCTCCACAGCCAGATTCAAACCAAAATATTGTCTCTTCTATTAAATTCTAGCTTGCCTCCGGAAACTCTATGAACTTGGTGAAATGATGACAGTTATACAAGTACTCAGGTCTTTTGTTCATAGGTTTGCTATAAATCATCTATGATTCAATGGCACTTAACAACAACAATTAAAATGTTAGGATGTAATAGTCTTCCATCAAAGTTGTGGAAAACAACTGACTGTTCTTTAGGCCATATTAGAGAGATTTGATACCCCCAACCCAACCCTAATCATTATTCTAAAAGTTAGAAATCCACACTCATCTCTTTTTAAAATATTTTTTAAATTTTTTAATAATTGCTTCTTTTTTAAAAATTTTGTACATTCAATTCTTTTTTCACCCATCTCTTAAGAATAACAGACAACGAATAATCACTAAAATTATTTTACAAAAATATATTCCAGTGATCTTTTGAATAATTTTTGTGCCACAGAAGTGGAGAGTCAATGGCATTTATCTTTAATCAAGATAAAAGGTCAATTCAACCTACTACAATGAAAGTGATGTTTAAACTCAGCTAGAAATCCAGGCAAATGGAGTGAAGGAGGAAATCTAACCTGTAACCCAGAGATGTAAGATCAAGACAAGAGCTGGGAAATTGATGCGTGCAGCTATTATATTTTCAAAGCTGCAATGTCTAGTGCAGGAGAGCCTTAATCTAGTTGATTCAAGCATAAAGCCCACTGGTACCATTAGTAAAAGAATAAATGTAAAGGGGACTCTTTTTTTACCCCACTATAAACCAAGAATAATCCAGCTATGAAGAAGAAGGAAATATTTTATTAATGAATGAATTCATTTGAAATTTCGAGTGAAAGTGATGGAATTAAGAAACCCAAAACTCTCCCAAGTTATCCATTTTCTTGCTGTTCTTTTTCTTTGTAACAGCTAGAAAAAATATGATATGCAATGGGGTGCATGCTGCAGGCAAGCATGACAGACAATTTTCTTTATGGCACAAGTCAGAAATGCTGATCAGCAAACACTCCTTGGATTCCATGTAGAGACTGCTCACACCATCCCTGATTCATTTAAATCCAGACAACTAATAAATAATCTGATCCTCCTGAGTGGATTTTCCCAGGTAATGAGCAACATACTTGGGACAAAATAAAACCACAAAAAACCAAAATCGCAGGTCAAGATTTCTGGCATAGCAAAGTGCCCAGAAGTGGAGTAATTACTGGGGAACACAGAACCCAAATGCTCATGTGTGTTCCGGCCTCAGTACAAAATCAGCCCATCTCGTTCAGGCCAGGCTCTGTGGCACAGAAGATCTTTTCATTCTTCTATGAATGGAGAGAGAGAAGAAGACACATAATTGAAGAATAACAACCCCTTGCCTCTACTGTATTGTCTCACAGGAACCTATGGAAGTCCCACTTCTTCGACAAGCTGGAACTAATAAGAAAATCAAAATGGAAAAAAGTATATTTTTGAGAGAGACAGCATTGCTGATAGTTTGGGGATAGACAGACACTGAGGTAACATCAGATTTTCTTCCTTCTTTCAGTAAACAGAGAATGAAATATGTGGGCTAATACATATACAAGAACAGTATTAAGGACACACAGGTAGATTTTGCATTGTTAAGTATTTTTAAAATAGTGAAATTTGTTCATTTTTATTTTAAAACAGACCATTCATTTAGACATTCAACAATAAATCAGTTACTCCCCCCAGGAGCAAGATAACTGGAGTTACTCCAATAAACATTGTTTGTCAATATATTCCTAAGACTTGACCAAACCAAGTAAACAGATGGGTTTGCTCATATTCAGGGATTAAAAACTCCTTCCATC